TTCTTCAAAAAGTCTGATCATCTAGTAACTGGTATGCTTTCCTTAAAACACTGAGCTAAATAACCCCTGCCATGAAACATCTTTACAGAAACAGGGATGTGAGCAAGGACAGGCATTTCTAGTGTGGCCTCTCCATATTGGCACTTCGGCAATCACTGCTTCTGGGTACTAAGCACTGGAATCTTCATGAGAAGCTAGGTCTTTTGGAGCCACCTTTCTGTGATAGGACTCCTGTGGCTACCACACGTCTTTTAACCACAAAGACTCAAGAGGCTCAGATGTTGTGCAGTATCTTTATTGCTTTCCTTGTGACTTCTTTCACCCCATCCTTCTTCTCATAGGAACTGTTTTAATTTTATTTGGCTAGAGTGCAAAAGGGCGACAAATTTCTTTAGCTAAAAGAACAATGAAGAAATATATCTGTTGAACTTGGACCTGTCTAGTTGCTTTTTGGTAGGAAGGCTTATTTCTTGCCCTGCTTACTGGCAGAGGAGCCTCTTCACTGCATGGTTTATCTTTGTCTGGAAAAGTGTAAGTTATACTTTCAGTGGTCCTGAATCTTCTCCAGTCTTATCCTCATGAACCAGTTGCCTAATATCAGGCACCATCTAGGCTGGGTTGCTTTGATAGTGAGGTCTAAGCATTACAGAAGCAATGCTACAGTCTCAGGGGATTTGTTGGATCATTTTAGTCTCATGGTCGGGCTCCAGTACTTCATTGTGGTGCTGATGCTAACAGATACCCAGTGATTAACCCGACTCAGTAGGACAAGCCAATACAAAGGGAGTAGTTCTTGTTGTGAATTCCAGGTTTATACAGATGAAGAATTCCAGTTGCTTCAGGTGGCTGGTGTATAGGGTTGTTTTATTTTATAAAGATCAGAGAAGTTTCTGCCAAATACATTGTTAGATCACATTTGATTATCATTTCATGTGAAAAGAGTAAATTAATACAGCGTCTCCTTATCACAGAATCACAGAACGATTGAAGTTGGAAGACACTTCTGATGGTAATGTAGTCCAAACCCTCTGCTCAAGCAGGGCCATCTAGAGCAGGTTGCCCAGGACCGTGTCCTGGCTTTTTAATATCTCCACAGATGGAGACCCCACAACCTCACTGGGCAATCTGCCAGTGCTCAGTCACCCTCACAGTAAAAAAGTGTTTCCTGATGTTCACTCCTGTGTTTCAGTTTGTGCCCATCTCCTCTTGCCAGTCACCGGGCACCACGGGAAAGAGCCTGGCTCTATCCTCTTTGCACCCTCCCTTCAGGTATTTATATACGTTGATGAGAGTCCCCCCCCACACACACGCCCTGCCTCTTCTCCAGGCTGAACAGTCCCAGCTCTCTCAGCCTTTCCTCATACGAGAGATGCTCCAGTCCCCTAATCGTCTTAGTGACCCTTCACTGGACTGTCTCCAGTAGTGCCATCTCTGTCTTGTACTGAGGAGCCCAGAACTGGACACAGCACTTCAGGTGTGACCTCGCCAGTGCTGAGGAGAGATCACCTCCCTTGACCCTCCCTAATGCAACACTCCCTAAATGCAGCCCAGGATAGTTAGCCTTCTTTGCCACAAGGGCACATTGCTGGCTTATGGTCCACTTGGTGTCCACCCAGACCCCCGGGTTCTTTTCTGCAAAACTGCTTTCCAGCTGGTCAGCCCTCAGCATGTGCTGGTGCATGGGGTTGCTCCTCCCCAGATGCAGGACTTTGCACTTCCACTTGTTGAACTTCATGAGATTTATATACGTTGATGAGAGTCCCCCCCCACACACACGCCCTGCCTCTTCTCCAGGCTGAACAGTCCCAGCTCTCTCAGCCTTTCCTCATACGAGAGATGCTCCAGTCCCCTAATCGTCTTAGTGACCCTTCACTGGACTGTCTCCAGTAGTGCCATCTCTGTCTTGTACTGAGGAGCCCAGAACTGGACACAGCACTTCAGGTGTGACCTCGCCAGTGCTGAGGAGAGATCACCTCCCTTGACCCTCCCTAATGCAACACTCCCTAAATGCAGCCCAGGATAGTTAGCCTTCTTTGCCACAAGGGCACATTGCTGGCTTATGGTCCACTTGGTGTCCACCCAGACCCCCGGGTTCTTTTCTGCAAAACTGCTTTCCAGCTGGTCAGCCCTCAGCATGTGCTGGTGCATGGGGTTGCTCCTCCCCAGATGCAGGACTTTGCACTTCCACTTGTTGAACTTCATGAGATTGCTGTCAGCCCATCTCTCCAGCCTGCCCCTCTGAACAGCAGCACAACCCTCCAGTGTATCAGCCACTCCTCGCAGTTTTGCATTATTAGCAGACTGAGGGTACACTCTGCCCCATCATCTAGATAATTAATGATGTTGAACAGAATTATTATTACTGAATTCTGAATATAGAATTATTACTGAGGTCTCCCTACAGGCCAAGCAAGGTGCAAACAAGTTGTTACAAATAGGTTTTGCTGCACTTGGCTGTTTAATTCCAACCTCTTACATCTGATGTAACTGTCACTTTTCAGATTAGTGGATCTTCACCTTGAGTTGGAGAAAAAAATATTCAGCTGATGCCAAAGTTTTCTGAGTTGACTTTGGGACTGTGGATTGCTAGAAGGCCTGGAAAGAATTTGTTTTGGACATCTAGTGGCTTTTACGAAATCCAAAAGCATCTGACAAAATGTTACTTTTTTGCTCTTAATATCGCTATATCGCTATCTACTATACTTCAAAAATTCAGAACCTTGTTCCTTTTCTAACCACCTGCAGTAGTTGTGATTTCAGCTTCACTATCACATATAAAAGACAAGAATCTCATGTGCCTTCAGAACCTACATTTGTGGAGGACTGCTTCAGTTTCTTTGAGGTTATATGAGATAACGGTTTTGTTTCAATAACCATGCCAAAGAAGTCTAGATTTCTGTACAGCTATGTATTTGGTAGTGTGTACAGTAAAGGGCCTCTCGGGTATATTTCTTTCGTCTTGTTTGCTTTACAAAATACTAAAAGAGAGCTAATTTTCTTTTTGTTAGTGTATTATTTGTACTATATGCCTGAAAAGAGGGCCATATATCAAAGCTGAGCTACTCTCTGTATTTGATGAGAGAGTGCCCGAATGTCTAATCCTCTAAAACCCACAGCTTATTTTCACAGCGTCTGTCTCCTTTCTGCACTGCTTCAACTTCTCATGTCAAGAAACTCACAATCAACTCAGGAACTGAGAGAATGGGGAATCCTCATTTCCCTTCTTAAACCTTTGCTGTTTGCTGTGAAGGAGAGGAAGAAAGGTGGTTCCAAAGATTTTAAAACCACAGACTGAAAGACAGCTGTTTAAAAATGCTAATGTGTGGAGATGGTACAGAAAAGAAAGCTAGTATGGAAAGAAGGAAAGTCCGTATGCAGGCCTCTTAATCATTACTTGTGTTGGGGAAGACTAGATGCTATGTAAGTGTTCCTAGGGTATCCTACTAAAATTGTTTTTCCTTTGCAGATCCATAAGAGGAAAGTGAATATGAACAAAGAGATTATGTCTTTGCGGGATCTCAAGACTTCTATTATTCATGAAATCAAGTGTTTAGTGCAAGAACTGAAATCTATACAGGCAGCCTTGGATTTATCAGAATGTCTCCCTCTTCCCCTGATCCCTCAGTTACACCCAGATGAAGTTCCAGAAAAAAAATTTGAGTATGACAGTGACATCCTCCTGAAGTTCAAAGAGGAGCAGGAGGCCAAGACAAAACTCCAGGAACAATTGGCAGGGTCTCCCTCATCTCATGCATTTAGGCACAGGTTTCTTCGAGCTCCTTCCATTAAAGAGATTGACCCCATGGCACAGGCTGCAGGTGCATGCCCGATGAAAGTAGCATCATCTGCAGTCATAGAGCAGCAAAAGGTTTTTGAGATTGAGAAGGCAGAGCCAACAGAAATGGAACTGGAAATTTTAAAGAGGGAGAAGATAAAAAACCTATATTTGCAGGACACTTTGATTAAAAAGGTAGGAAAACAAAAGTTATTTTTTTCAGCTTGAACAATCCCACTGCCTCAGAAATAAAACTAAAACCCCTTCCTACTGTCTCAGGGTTGCACCTACTCTTGCCTTTCCGAAGTTCAGGAAAATGCTATCTGGTGCAAATTTACAGTGTAAATCAGTACAAATCCCTAACTGTGACCTGTGTGCTGACTATCACTTGAAAAACAGATCTTAGATTTCTTATTGATTGTTCTATGAAACCATGAGCTTAGTGGCCAAAAAAGACAAGTAAAATGTTAGAAATTACTTGAAAAGTGCCAAAGAGGGAAAAAAAAGGAGCATCACTACAACTTTGTAGATGCATGATGTTCTCGGCTGTTCAATAACTGTAGTCCTGAACCTTTGGTCTCAAAAATGATTTTGTAGAATTAGAAAAGGTACAAAAGAGAGTAAGCAAAATGCTTAGTCATGGAAAAGCTTCTTTAAAAGGCACATCTAAATAGATAAAGCATCTTTGGCCTGGAAAAGGAGTAACTGAAGGGGTTGTAGCAAAGGTGATAAAATTATGAATAGCATAGAAAAGGACAGTGGGAATCACCTCTTGAAAGAAGGAGAGATATCAAATTAAATGGTCATGTAGAAAGCTTGAAACATGCAAATGGAAATAGTTTTCCTATCCAACAATAACTAAGCTTTGGAACTCAGTGTTAGGATGTGGGGGAAGCTACAATTTGATAAAGTCTGGAAGAATGATCCATTCAGAGCTGTTGAACACAAATACACCACTTCAAGCTCAGGATGTCCCTAAGTCAGAGTTTAAGAGGGTACAGAGAGGAGCGTGCCAGAGGTGTACCAGTTGTTCACTTGTTTGCTCCATTTCTTGTCATCTTTTCTCTAACTTGTGCTATTGGCCATTGACTCTTTGGTCTACCCCAATACAGACACCCTTGTGTTCATGTTGTGAAAGTTTTGAGAGAATAACCAAATGCTGTTGTGACCATCATGTATATAAGTTAATGCTGGCAGCTGATAGTACTGATTTAACTGTAAATGATTAAGGGAGGACCTGGCAGGTATTCTGAAAAAAGTCTGTCAAGGCAGAAGATGTGTTTGTTGCTACATCTGGGATTGTTACATAAACTACTTCAGGCTACTGTAAAACATTCTCTGCAGAGTGAAATACTTCTGGGGTGGAGTGGGATGCAGTGAAACATTCCTGTGAAGCCCTGGTGATTCTTTTACTATTGTGTTGAGAACAAAGACACATTTGGGGTTAACTTTGTCTTTCTAAGTGCTTCAGTAATCCATAGTAAATAGCATGGGCAAGTTGTTGATTTGGCAGAGAGAATTTTTCCCTTCTGCTTCCTTCTCTAGCTTTACATGTTTAGCTCCACTCCTAATACTTTCCCTGTTCCTCATTTGCCTCTCATATGCTCCAGATCAATGCACTGGTGATCAACTTTGATGCTGAACTTCGCTTTCTCCGGCACAAGAAACTGAAGCTGGATGTGCAGATGAAAAGTGCTGACCTGCGCTACATCACGTGGTATGAAGAGCTGCTTATCCTGAAGAACCTTGAGAAACATGAGAGCCTTCTCCAGGGGCGTGTTAACACCCTCATCAGTGAGCAGGAGGCTGTGCAAGTAAGCAGGCCATGTGTCTCTGGACTTAACAGTACCACTAATGCATGGCTTGAAACTGAAGCAAGCCATAAAGTAAATGGTGGCATCTATTTGCTTCATTTTAGCACTGATCCAGTGTCTAGTGCTAGATTTTGGAAAACAAGAAACTCTCGATGATCAGCCTAGGATGGTTGCTTTTAACTTCCAATAATTTATCTTTTCATAGTCTTAACAGTTGTATTTTAATAGGCCCTTAATGATGTGGAGTCAGTGACAAATCATATACTTAAATTTAAGAACATACTTCCAGGTTTTCCTTGATTGGAGCACAGTTTAAAGACAGAATGTCAAGTTTTGCATTTCCAGATCTTCACAGATATATCCTATATACGCACACGTGTGGATTGTACCTTTTAACTGAAGTAGGTTTTTTGTTTGTTTAGTCAAAACTGAATAGCTACCTTGCACAGATGGAGGATAGAAAGTGTGAGACTGTAAAGCTCCAGGAATGTGAGAAAGCTCTTTATGCCAATTTCCAAGCATCCCTTGGAGAAAACAATGAGTTTGCCCATTTTCTGACCAAGGTTCTGAAGAAGAAAATCAAATGCGTGGAAAAAAAAGAAGTCGGAAGAGAAGCAGGTTGGAGATACTGTTCTTTTTGTTTTATGGATTTGTTACTCGTACTTTGGTGTGGTCAAGTGTGTCTCAGTCTAACTGGAGCCCTGGGTACATGCAGCACTGAACTCGGTTCAAAAAAACATATATCAGACTTACCCAGATTTGTTTATATACCGACCCATGTTCTGTGGCAGCCATTTTGAATTATAACAATGGTGTAATTCAGTTTTTAACATGACTACATTTGGTCTGATGACAGCTCCTGCAATTTACTTTCTGTAAGTCATACTGAGGACTGATAATTGGTATGAAGAAGGGGCAAAGCTTTAAATAGCTACTTCCTATGCTGTACCAATGAGAGCTATGGATAAGTGATTAGTCTGCCACATTCATGACATTCTCCTTTAATCTGTCCATTGACTAATGAGAGATCACAGACCTAATCTGCAATCACGTATTAGTCACAGGACTAAACATATGATGAAAGAATTTAATTTATCTTAGTGACTCAGTTTTAAATGGTTAAGCCTAGGTACATATAGACATATTCCTAGCACATATAAAGAGAGGAAACATTATTGAAGGAAGTCCCAAAAATGTGTCTGTGTCCATGCATTTGGCACTACTAGGTGATCTCTCTCCCTCAGTCTTTTTGTTTTGTGGGGTTTTTTTTTTGTTGTTGTTGTTGGGTTTTTTTTTTCCCCTTTCTGTGAAATTATCAAATCAGTGCAACAGGCACAAGGTGCCTGGATCCACATATTACCAGGGTGATCTTCCAGGGATTATTAGGATTGTGTTCACCAGCACATTGGCATAATGCACAGCTAGTGGGTCTGGGTGTGTTCTGCAAGCCAGCAGTACTGTCCTTTTCTTCCAGATGAAGATGAGAATGAAGAGGAGAATGATGAAAAGTCCAGCTTGGGGACTGATGAAGAAAACTCTGGATCTGAAGATGAAGTCTTTGATGACTCTGTTTGCCCAAAGGGTACCTAAGCCATCATTTCCTTGGGTTGACTACTTGTTTAGCTTTAGGGGCAATATTGTGTGTTTAAAAAGAAAACACTCATCATTCACTGAATATTAACGCCAATAAGGGCCAGAATGTGCGTACCCTCCAGAGTGCAGCATTTCTCCCCAGGAAATCTCAGTGGAGATAATGGAACCTCTGGTAGTATAGGGTACCCTAATTAAAAGTTTGGAAAAATAAAACTTAGCTAAGCACAAAGAATTAATTATTTTGTGTAAAGAACCATTCCCCGTTTCATAGCTGTTTTCTGGAGAGAAAGGCTCTTCTCAGGAGTGGAGCTGGAGTGAGGCTGTAGCTGCTCTCTGGAAACCTGCTGCCTGGCCTAGCTGGATCAGGGAAGTTCTGTGGGGACCCTACCATGGTATTAAATTAAGCTCTTTGTTACCACCTTGTGGATTTATGCAACAATTGCCTGTTGCTGTGCTGCTCTCTTATGGATATCTGAAAAGTCAGGAGCTTTACTTTGCAAAATCCTCTTCATTCATTTATTCAAAAAAGGCAAGCAACTCCCCCCTCCTCTTTTCTTTTGTATGCGTTTAACTAGTTTAGGGTGTTGGTTTTTTTAAAAATCTTCGAGTGATATGTCAATGACCTTGTAACAACACTGCTTTACTTTCAGTTAGAACTTGCCAACAAATTACCTTATCATATTTTTTTAAATTGGATTTTAACATCGTTTTCACAAATTGAATTTTTGATTAACTCCTCATTCATCTCCTTTTTCAATAAAATGTTGGGAAGAACTGAAGAGGATTTTTACTTTTTATTGAAAAAGTCCAAATTACTAATTTAATGGGGAAATTGTATGTTGCATTAGCCTCTTCATATTTGTCTCTTTATGTGTAAATTGCTTTGCCTTTATTAGACTTTTTTTTTTATTGTGCCCACTAATTTGGGTTGATAATGCTGACTTGATTAATATGACTGAAATCACTGCATTAAAAATTCACAGATCTTCCTTACCATGAAACAAACAAAACAGGTCCCGTGAACCACAGCTTCATTTACAAATGGAGCTATAAATGATCCCTACAGCTGTATGCATGGATCTTTTTTTTTCATCATTATAGTGAAGGATGCTATGGATAAACAACTACGTGTTCACATAATTGAAGATTATACTGTAACATGTATTAATTACTGGGACTGCATTACTTACAAAAACTAACTTTTGAGCACTTGACTTTAATATTGGCTTTGATACATTTAGTCTTACTTCTGGAAACAAACTGTCTTGACTGAATGTAAAGAAAAAAAGATCCATGCAAGACATTCACCTCCTCATGGAGGAACATAACCCATGTGGTTTACGTTTGAGAAAGCTCTAGGGAACCAAGAGCGTGGTCTTATTATGGGGAACTGGGCAATGTGTGCACAGTAGGAGAAGCTACTAGCTCAAGCCTGAACTATAGTGCAGTCATAATGAAACTAAACTATTCTTTGACTCTTTCCTTCTCAGACTGCAACGAGGCACTCTTCCGAAACACCATCCAGCTCCGGCAGAAGTGGTTAGACATTGAGAAGGCTTTAACAAAGGAGAAGAAAGTTGCTGCTAACCTCAGAAAGAAATATAATGCCTTGGCGAAAAAGGTATTGTAGTGTTTTCTTCTCAGCAAACATCAGCTGGCTCCATTACAGTGGAAAATGTTGTGCTAGTGATTTTAGCTAAGATTTAAAACGAAAATTCCAACCCTTTGAGAGGCCTCAGTTTGGGTAGAGATACCTGTGGTAGCACAGAGGCAGGAGGCAGCACAATATGGGTCACCTGTCCTCCTGGAAAGGGTAAACCAAGGCGGTCCAACCTTAGCTGCTATGGGGCTACATCCAGGTTTTAGGTCCAGTTCCTTCCCAGCTGTCTAACCATCATGCAGCAGCAGAAACTGGATTCTGTGGTTCAGATGCAACACCTGATGTAGCCTGGCCCATCATCTGTGCATGTGTATGGAGACGGAGAGATTAAAGAATCCTTATCCTAACACAAATGCAGGTTAAAATAAATGCATAACAATGCTATCCTTCCATCTATTTCTTTTTGCTCTTTGTCATAGTAATCATTGAACAAACTCACTTAGTGCAAGTTTTCCTTTTAGCTTTTTTGAGCTCCTGCATTCATCAAGACATTTGATTTATATTAATTAAAAAATATCTTAATTTGAAGGGTTATCCAGGATGGAGAGAGAGAGTTCTGCCAAAATAACATTATGCAAGTCTTGCTTTTATTGTGTCTCAAAAATGTTCCATCAAATATGCTTAACTTACAACATTTTTTGTTTAGTTTTTAAAGGCTTTCCTAAGTGCCAGCTGCCACATATTCACCCTGGGGTCTGACATTTGAGTCTGAATTGTTTCTTTCTCACGCAGAATCAATAAGCATTTCCAGGCATAACACAATAAAAAATATCTTGCAGGCTCTGTAGATCTAGAAGTGTTTAAGACACTAAACAAGCTGTCTCTTGATACATACAGGGCTTGTCTACTAAGGAGACATTTACTGAGTGTACATGTGTGCAGAGGTATTCAGGATAGAATCTTGCTTGACTATCTAGATGAGCCTCATGTTTGCCTATGAAACTCATCTATCATACTATGTAAAAAGAGCATTTTTTTCCTATACTTCTTTCCCTTTGGATCAGAGACTCTAACATAGAACCTTGCTGCCTTATGTATTTGAGTACCACAGGATATTTGTTTGTCGACAATTTGTCCTTCTGCAGGCAAAAGTAGTGGAAACCAGTCTGGACACTGCAGAGAGGGAACTGGAGACTTTTCAGTGGGAAAAGCAGCAGAGACTGAATGAACTATATGTAGTTGTACCTTTGAAACTCCATCAGGTAATTCAAGACTTTGTGCATCTGCAGGTGCAGAGTGGCCTATGTATGTCTAAACAATGGTGTTACTGTTCTTTGGGGCCCTTAGTTCGTAATTCACCATTGTCTCCTGGGAGTGAAGTGCTATTAATTGAATGTCATGCTGCTATTTCCTCTAGATTTTTTTTTTTCCCCCTTCTCTACTCTTATACTAACAGAAAAGAGGTAAGGACAGACAGGTTGGCCCATTGCTGAAATGTGCATAGTCTTCAAGTGTTTTATAGGTTTGGCATGGGATTTTCCTTCAGGCCCATACCTACTGATACTCTCCTGGGGGAAAAAAACAAACCCAACCAAAAAACAAACCAAAAAAGCCCCCAAACTACTGAAACTAATGGGAGTTTTGCCCAGTTCAAGAATGCTGGATTGGATGCAATGCATTCATCTACATATCTGTTAGCACAGGGATGATAAGTAGAAAATGAAGAGGAAAACTCAAAACAATATTGTTATTTCCTCTGGGCTGAATCTTATCCTCAGAGAGAGAAGATAGGCTTCTGCCTGTTCTGGCTTCTACACCTCTAAGGCAAGCTCAGCCCTCTCCATTTTTTCTGTCTCCCTTCATTAAAAGGTTGGTAATAAAGATAGAAGAGTCTAAGGCCTGACTATGCAATCCTGCAGCTCCCAGATCATTCAAAAGCACAGTCAATAGGGAGTCCCTCACTCCCCCTTTGTTCCAGGTGCTATAGAAGGGTAGACAGCTTTATATGCAGGCAGTCATCACAGCTCCAAGTAATCTTTGAGCTTTGCTGAGTGGTAGTGATTCACTGGCCCAAAATGTAAGAGTTGTGCCCATGCTTACTTTTACCTCGCTCATTAGTTCTCTAACACTCATACACTTGTTATCCAGAGAGATCACCAGCACCCTTAATAAGTAAAGTCAGCTTTGCTTTATGGCTGTTTCTTGCAGGTGGAGTACTTGGTTAATGGGGAGATGCCCCGTGACTTCTCCCAGGCTTTGGTATTTACCAACCAGTCCTTAGAGTATCTGCAGAAGAGAATTGTGGACCTACATAACGAAAAGATAATGCAAAGAGAGATCTATAAGAAAGCCCAGGAGCAACATAAGCAGCTTGTCCAGGACAAAAAGGAGATGGAGATACAGATTCGACGTGAGTAACAGAGTCTCTGAACAACACAGCATACTAATGCTCATTCTGTCCTCCTCACTGGGTGTGGGTAACTCACCAGATGTCTGTCTTTACACTCACCCAGATGTCACAGCTGGTTACTGCAGAAAATAAAACAGAAAGAGCAGATCAAGTGGACTGTTTTAATGAAGTACTGGTAGTTCTCCAGCACTGCAGAGTCATTAGGCTATTAAATAATTTGGGAACTTAGTACAAGGAGAGGTGACTGAGGTGAGACACTGGAAGTCAGGACACACAATTGCTATTTCTGGCTGTAAACCAGAACACCTAGGAAAAAAGTACTTTCCCCAAAGCCACATAAGCTTTTTTTTTTGGCAATTTCCTCCTCTGTGTAACATGAGAAGAACGAAACAAGCCCTATTCAAACACTTACTGTCCCAAGGACCAAACCCAAAGACGTGGCTAGCCCCACCAAACCTGCAGAGGCCCTATATAGCCTTTGGTGTGGGAGTGGCTTACTAGGACTGGCTTAGAGTGTGGCTTAGCAACCACACAGGCGTGGTCATGGGCAAGGACAAACAGCAATATTCAGTTGTGAGCTCTGTGTGGTTTTGTGTGAATTATTTATTACAGAGCAAATACCAAAGAGTTCAGACAAAAAGCTGGGGGTAAGGCAGAAATTCTTAATAGTCAAAGAAAGACAGTTCTGCCGCTTGTGCCATGCCCTTTCTGTTAGGACTGGAGGAGAAGTGCAATCATCTGATGATGAAGAAGTTTGGCTGGCTGGTTGATTTTGAAGCAGTTCAAGCACACTCTGTTAACATACACATGGAAGAGTTGAAAGTGCAAATAATGGAGAAAGAATATGTGCACTCCCAGGAGCTCAAAGAGTGGGAGGTAAGGAGCAGGAAAAGCAGGAAGGCATATGTGTTATGATGATCTGTTAAGGCTTTGTTTCCCTGGGGCTGAATAGTTACACTGAAAATCTTTTGTGAACCTGTTTATGTTTGGGTTTTTTCACCTGTCATTAATAGACCATAATGTCCAATTCCAATTTCCCATCATTGTTCCTACCTCTGCTCCAATTGCTGCTACATATCCTTTTTTCTCATGGAGGTAGTTGATGACCTTCTTGTTTTACTTTCCTCAAAAGCATCCTTCTGGTTCAGTCCCTATGTGAAGTTCTTCTGGACCGCTTTCCTTTGGTTTTCAGCTGGCGTTAGGCACCTACTGTGCCTCCTCCCACCGCCTTTGGTGATGAACTATTTGAGTACAGGGCAGCCCTGGCTCATGCCTACTATGCTAGTCTGTGCAGTCTGAAAAGTGCCTGTCTCTATCTGGCGGGCCTAAGACTCAGCTACCGTGGTGCAAGCAGGCAACACTTATGCTGCCCTTACAGAATGCTGTCCTTTTCTGTCCTTTTAAAAACAGGAGAGACAAAAATTAGAAAACAGGCAGGGGAGCATCACAAAAGATCCAGAAAAATCTCTCTTTGACCAAATATCATGCCTCTTGTTTTAAATTGACTTAAGATTTTTCTTTTTTTCCCCCCTGAGCAGTAAAACATCAGTTCCTTTATACATGTATCTAATATGTTTTGTGATTTCTACTTTTTCCTGTTCATGTCAGTTGGCAACACATTCTGGGCTTAGCCTTGCTGGTGGGTATTCACTGCTCCTTAGGGAAGTTAGTCTGGTATCCTTCAACATGGCACACATCTACATCCAGCTCAAGACTTCTAATTGACGTCAGCAAGGATACAAGTAGGTTTGTAATGAATTGTCCTGGCCACTACTTGCATGTTTGTGCAGCATGACACATTTCCAGGAAAGTAGAGTGTTGAAGCAGATTTGCAGTTCCTTGCTCTCCTGGTTGTCCTGTTTGTAGCTGGGCAAAGAACCCCTGTCCTCCCTCTAGATTTGGATACAAGAGCCAAATCTCGAAGTGGAAACTCATAGCCGCAGCCTTCTCTGTTCTTCTGTGCTGATTTGGGGCAGGTGTAGGAACCAGCTTAATACCTAGCGCATATATGGAAGTATTATGTACCTAATTCTTTTCTCTTTCCTGCACTTTTGCCTAACTGCTTTACCTGAATACTTAGGTATTTGCAATATTAAAAAAAAAAAAAAAAGAAGAAAAAGAGTTTGCACTAAAGGTACGTGAAATGAGGTGGTGTATGCAGGATCAGTCTGTTGTTTACCTCCCTTCTGTGACACTTACATTGTGCCTAGCACTTTTTTCCCACTTCACACTTTTTGCCCTCTCTCATCCCAGCTCAAACTTTTACATCTTTCTAGGAAAGAATCTTAGACCTGCGGCAGCAGCTAATGAAGCTGACAAAGGAAAATACCAGCAAGCTGCAGCAGCTGAACCGGTTCTGCCTTGAAAAGCATCAACTTGAAACTAAGCTGGATTCACTGAAGAATGATCTGGTAGGCCTTTTAGCCACTGTACTGCATGCAGGGTTGGGCCCATTGAGAAATGGGTAAGGGATCATCTGGCCTCACCAGCTCTCTGGTCTCACATCCTGCTCTGCAGTCAGCAGTTCGGGCTAATATTGCTTAGTAGCACAGGCTGAACGGCTGCTCCAGGTCTTGTAGAAAGGGAGATGAATGAGCTGATCCTGAAGTAGGCCATACCTTAGCTTCTCTGCTAATTTCTTACTTAGCTGCTTCCTAATACTGAAACAAACTCATCTTATTTCTAATTAGAAAACATCTTGCAGCAGGTCAAAATTATTCCTTTGTTACGTGGAAACAGCCAAATGAATTAAAGTGTTTTCTTTGCTCTGTATTAAGGAATAAGGCAGCCAGCTGTGACAGTCTGAGTCTAAGTTAGTGGTCCTTCACTCTGACTTCCAAGTAGTTCTGACTGAGGAGTGGAGAAGTCATGAAGCTGTCCTGCCTCTTGGAAAGCTTCACTTTCCTGCTTGAAATAAATTTCCACCACTCATTCTCCCATGTTTTATAGGAGTTATTTTTTTTCCTCTCCTTACAGGGATCAGAATTTCAGGGACCCCGAACTACTGACATCAAAGAGAAGGCCAGGCTGGAGTCACGGCTCAAGCACATGGCTCGTGACGCAGCACTCCTAAGAGAAGAAATCCATCTTCTAAGCAGAAAAGATGGGTGCCTCTTTCTACAGACTTTATCACCACAGGACTCTGAGGCACCATCTGAAACATTCCCTGTTCTTACACCAGAAATGGTAACTAACAGTCCAACTGTCCCTTAAAAATGGACATGGTTAACTGTGGCAGTAGTAATACCTGGAAATGTGAAATTAATTGCTTTGGCTATAGAGGCGTTTAGTTGTAAAGGGTTGTATTTGTTTCCTCTATCAAAATATGCCTGTCGTGACAGATATGGAATAAAAAAAGTGCAAATACAACCAGTAAATTCTGTTACCAGTCCATGGCAGAGATTTGCACTGGGCAGATGACCTGCGTGTGTGCATATGTGTATGTCTGTTCTTCAGAACGGTGGCTGTTGAAGGCTGGATATGAGAGTTTCACATGGGCAGATACAGCTTTGGTACCTGTGTTCTCAAAAATACTAAAAGAGATGTGCCTTAAGGGTGTGTTTTGTTATTTGCTGAACATCCTAGCAGCAATGGCAGTTCTCTGCTCACTGAGCTAGTGCGAGTCAAGGGAAGAGCTATTTGTTTGGAGAAAGCAAAGGGACCTTTCTCCTCAGGGCCTACGGTGCTCAGATGGCTGTGGAGCCAGTCAAAGACTTTTCCACTTACCTCTGCTCTGTAGCAGTGGGAAACTGCACTGTAGTGCAGGACGCGATATTTCCCTGGCATGAGGAGGGTATAGCAAATGCAAAGTCAGCCTGTAATTCCACTGGCTTGCACCTGCTTGATCAGAGTGAGAGCGCCAGGCTCTATATGTTTTCAGGTTTTATTCTTCCCCCCCTGCCCCGGCATTTGGTGTGGTGGCAATGCATGATCATTTACAGCACTTAGCTTGTCTTGCTGTGAAAACTTCCTTCAACCCCAAAGCAGAGGGGCTGTGTTGCACTGTTCTTCCAGTGCAAAGTTTCTGAGGGTGCACAGGGAGGCTTGGGGTTTGTTGCTAGTTTTTAATTACATAGGTTGAACAACCTGCAGCTGCTCTTGCTCTTCTTCCCCACTACCTGCCTTTTGCTACTGGTCTTTGTACACCAGAGAGAAGAGCACTCAGCCAGGATCCAGCCACATCCCAGCCAGGCACAAGATCTGCCCCTGCTGGCCCCAGAAATGGTACTATGCTGAATGGTGCTTGTGCTGCCTGCCTTTTCAGTGGGTCCCTATGAAGGTGCTGAGCATCCTCCATTTCCTTAAGGGAAAAAAGCCCCTACCTTATCCACAGGCCTGGATGCTGAAAGTTTTTGAAGCTGGAAAACCACAGGAAGGGGGGTGGGGGATAAGGAAACAAAATTTGCAGAAATTTGGGTGTCTGTCTGCCTCCCTCCACCACCAAACTCATGCAGCTGTCCTTGGAGATAAATTAAAATTTCCGCTAGCTGTGTTCCTCAGTAGAAGTTTCATGTCACTTAACTGGCGCAGGTAGTGGCTGTCCCTTTCCTCCCGAGCTCAGCATTGAGAAGATACATGCGGGTGGCTATTTGGAAAACTGTAACTGCAGGAAAACAGCTCCTTTCCCCAGGTGTCCTGTGTGCTATGTGTCTGCAAGTAAAAAAGAGTAGGTTCACTCTGTGGGAGGATTTAGCATAGAGCCAGCCACCAAAAAGACTAAAGCCTTTATTTTAGATGTTAAAGCGTGGGTTTGTCTTTACAGATACGCAGCTGCAGATGGCGTGTATGTGAAGGGTTGATTAGGCAGAGTGCATAACTCCAGTCCATTCACAGGAGTGTGTTCCTGGGACAAACCTTCCTGTGGGGGAGAGGAAAACACCTTTTTGACAGCGTTATCTTTCATGAAGCCCTCACTGCAAGAGGGTGCTAGATCTTGGTGGCAGCAGCTCTGTTTGGACCCATGTCCTGTGACGTCTCTTGTGCTGCTGTTCCAATCTTGTGCTCTGATGAACAGCCTGGTGCCATGGATAGCCGCTGCCTTGTTTCTTGGGCCCTCCTGTGACCTTGCTGAGGATGCCTTCTGTCTCCATAGCATTATAAAAGGCACATATACATCTATATACAAGTGCATAAATATATAAATAGGGGTGTTATACAAAAATAAATACCCATTCTCTTTTTCTCTTTAAAATAAGTCTTTTGCAAAAGGCAGCCTGGTCCCTAGCTAGTAGGACAATGAGTCTCTAAGGGCCTCAGTGGTGGCGGGCTGCTGTTCAGAAGTCTTGGTGGGTCCTGACCCAAAGATGTGATCACTGGATTCCGGAGATGGAGATCTCCTCTGGACTGGCAGCAATCCAGTCTTTCTACCTCTTCAACGGGCACTAGGCCTAGGCAGCAAGGACTTCCTGAAAGAGAAAGGAGCAAGAAAGGATTAGAATGCATAGAGAAATGAGAGATGCTGTGGTAGCTCTCTAGTCAACAGTCCACTTTATGAGGCTAGGTACCCTCATCAAAGAGGAAGAACTGCATTCTGAAAGTCCTGGCTGCATGGGAGTTTGATCCTACGCTTGCAAACAACAAGTTTGATCCATGTTACAGGTGGATCAATGGACCAGGTCCTAGGGAGATGGATTCACATAGTTTTTCAGGGACCTTGTTGTTTTACTGGCAGTCTGGAAAATGCAAAATTGAGGACTAAAGGACAGCATCTCGACAACTGGAGGCGGGCACGTGCCCTTCCAGCAGCATGCAGCTCAAGCTTTTGGAAAAATGAGAAATCTGTCTGCTAAAACTGACTGAGGCAATTTACGGTCCCCGGCTGCTAGCATGGCCTTCCCATGCTGTTGTTCTATGCAGTGTTAAAACTGTCCTTGCGCCACAGAAGCGAGCACGAACAGAGCCATCAAAGGCTCTGCAGTGAGATTTCCCTTCAAGATCAGCTGAAACAATGAGATGAAGCAAGCACCGAGTTTTCCAGACCACTGACCTTGGTGGAACAGGGGATCCCGTCGACCATCCAGGCTAGGGCCTCCCACTTTGCTGCCCATCACTGGATGATGGAGGCCAACAAAGTGCTCTTGAAGGTGAGGACAGTCATCTTGTGGCTGAAGAAGCTGGTGAGTGGAGTCATCCGGGAGACTGTAGAGGAAAGAGCTGTCTTCTGTTCTTGAGTTGGGCAATCTGGGGAGGCAGACAAAGAGGTTTAGTGCTATCCACAGATCTTTCCTCCTTGAAAGATATGTCCTATGCAACACCTCAGCCAGCTGCATCAATGCAATGACACAAAGCATTCCTAAATGAGGGGAAGAGCCGAAACTGCGATGTACTTGTGGGATGGGAATGAGGTGGTGGAACCTGGTATCCACGATTTAACATCTAGTGAGTGCCACAGGAGCTGGGAGGAGTAGTGCCTCCCAGGGAGCATGGGAATAATGACCTGACATCTGAACAGCAAGACACAAAGCACCTGCAATTGGACCCTGGCCAGATTCTGGGGCAGCTGTTTATCAGCATCGTCACAGATGTTAGCGTCTCATCCTACTTTTCAGTCTCCCGCTTAGGAGCAGCGGGAGGAAAAGAGGGCAGGGGGAAGTAGGTCTTGCCCATCTCTAAAATTAAATTATCCCTCCCTCAAACCGTAAGAGGAATGAGCTCTACGAAGAGAATTTAGACCAAGAAGGCCTAGTGCTGGAGCATGGATTTGTTTCCCAAGTGAATTGGGACAGATGGGAGCGTGCGGAGGGCAAGCTTTTGTGAGCATGTAGTCTTGTGGGCCCCACTGGATTGTTCCACTCTTCCCCTCCGTAAGCCAGGACTAACCTGGAGGGCTGGTAGTCTTGCTGGGCATTCCCGTTTTGCAGCACTCTCGCCTGCAGCAAGGCATTGGTCTCCTCGTGTGACTGGAAGGAGAGAGAAGGATTCTCAGCAGAGCAACGCCACACAGCAGCATTAAGAGGCAGGTGCTGATCTGGGAGCCAGAGCTGTGGGGCAGACTGGTGAAGCTCTTACGACAGAAGGCAGAGCAAGCTGAAACTGTTTCTTTTGCTACAGAGGACAGAGTGGAACTGAGCACTGAAAAACTCACGTCACGCTTGCTGCTGAATCAGTGGGGGATGAGAACCAATTTATTGTCTCAGCTGTGGCACTGCCTTGGCCTGCGTTACTATTTACACACAGAGTCCTCAACGTTGTCAGTCCCTGGGAGCTTTGCTCAGGAGAAACAGGAACCGTTCCCATAAGAGTAGCCTTTGCTCACTGCCTCCTCCATACTTAGAGCCACTGCCCCAAGAAACCACCTCTTCACCAGTGTTTTGCAGACCTTCCTGTTCCTCCCACGTCTCAGACTCCACTGCAAAGGGGAAATCTCTTTTAAGAAGCCAGTCTTGCCACTTCCACATGCTGCAAAGGGTGCCAGGCATGTCTGGAGAAGCCCTCTCACTGCAACCACAACCTCCAGCTCATCTCAAACCAACTGTTAACCACAAGTGTGGACATACCTGTGGCACTTCATCGGAACTGTAATCTCGGGGCTTGGTGCTTGCATAGCCCACTCCTGCAGCAGGGCAGATGCCATTCAGGTGTGCCCCGTTGGCATAGGGCTGCCCGTTAACATAGGGATGTCCATTGGCACGAGGAGCAGAGATGCCCCGCAGAGGCACCATGGTGTACTGGCAGGATGAGACCAGCAGCCCTGCTCCTGGGAAGCCCATGTCGATGGTTTGCTCTGCAGCGGGAAGAATAAGGAAGTCTGAGGCCAAAACCAGAGGTAAAGGTGAGCTTCTTGAAGCTCAGCAGGGATAGTGTTAGGCTGTCCTACCAGGCAGCTGTTTTGGCACCCAAAGCACCCGTGAAGAAAATGGTGGAAAGGGGTCCTACACGAAGGAAAAGGCAGTGCCCCTTTCCACCTGCTCTAGCCCCAGGGCTCCTTCTCAGCAAGGTAAGCAGGACAAGGGACAAACGGTGGGCTTTGTCTTTATCGGGTTCCATGGGACATTTGGGAATTGCCCTCTGCCCACCCTCTCCCTGCTTCCCAGAATGTGCAGCCCTCACATTTTAGGTGTTTGCCCCAATTACCCACAGGGCAGAGCATATGTTGTAAATCAGGCCTCAAGAAAGAACCCTTACTCTGTTTGGACCAGGCTCTCCAAAGGCAAAAGGGGATGAAGGCCACGATGAGGAGTACAATAGAGCCCAGCACGACGCCTACAATCAAGTATGGCAAGTCGCTGGAACGGGCCACCATGGCTCCTGTCCCCAGGCCGCTGTGCCCACCACTGAGTGGGGGATGCTGCTGGGGGGGCACTGTTGAGGGTGGAAGGCGACCTGGCAGACCAAGAGACTTCCGAGCTGTGAAGGAAACAGAGAGAGGGAGAGCATTAGACACAGACATGGCGGGTGGAAGAGCAGCACGCTCCAGGATGTCTGTGCTGCTGTGGAGCGGACAGACTTCTACAGTGGCTTTAAAGAAGTGCTCCTGGATGCCAGAGGATTTCCTAGGCTGATGCATATTGCAGTACAGACAAGTCCTTTGTGCTTGGCTTACAGATCTGCCAGGCTCTTGGACTGCTAAAGCAAAATGAAAAAGGAAAATGGCTTCTCCAAAACACCCACTTGGACTTAACGCTGTTCCTATCATGACAGTCCAGCTGCTTGGAAGACAGCATGGGACCTGCTTATAACCAGACACAGGCACTCGGAAGATCAAGGGAAAGTTAGCCCTTCTGGTACTGGTCACCATCTATGTGACACTTAGGAAAACAAAAGGTAACTAACTGCTACTCTGAGGGAAACGGTGATGGACTCTGCACAAGGGGCCTGAGTACTGGTGTGGGTATATACACGTACTGAGCAACAGCATCAACAAACGTACACCTCTCTTCTCCCCAGTGCTGCCTCCATCTCCTTGCCTGAGCTTGGATGATGCACCGTCAGGCCGGGATGGTACCTGCCTGGCTGTGCTCTGACAGCTGCAGGCAGGGAAGGCAGCAGGCTGCGCTCCCAGAGGCTCCCCGCCAAGCTGGTTACCTTTGGTTTCACAGATCATGACGTTGCTGAACTCGCTTTCACCACCCTCATTGAAGCACTGCATCTTAATGTCATACGAGGTCTCCGGCTGCAGGTGGCTGATGGAGTGCCAGTACCGATCTCCTGAGGAGGGAACACACGCACGGTGCCGTTAGCTTCCTCGGGGAACAGGCAGCTGGCCCAGCTCAGCAGCAGTGCTAGGTAAAGCGAGCCTGGACAGCAGCAGCCTTGTCCTTTTTTGTGCACAGGGCTCCTTCTGGCCAAATACTCTTCCAGGAGGAACCAAGAGCTGGGACCAGTCTCCCAGTATCTCCTACCTTCCACCACGTCCTTCTTGTAGTCGCTGTCATTGTCACTGTCAGTGGGGCGGTAGTAGATGTAAAAACCATGGATGGGAGTGTTGTTGTTGCTGGCTGGGATATACTGCAGAGAATGGGAGGGAGACCAGAAATTAGCAGAGATGTCTGTGCTCCATATTGTACTAGGCAAGGAGCAGTGCGGATAAATGGGATGGGACAGGAAGAAGACCCAGCAGGGGGATCTTCCTTGTGTTGCCACTGGTTTTCACAGTAAGGGCTTCCTTCCGAGAGCTCAGTCCTGTTTTATACTCTCACACCTTGCTTCTCTCGGGTAACAGACAAGCCATGAGTCTGGTCCTGTCAGCCCAAGCATCCAGTACTCTTCTCCCTCCCAGCAGCCACAGCCAATGCTTCAGAGAAAAAAATTCCTCAGCGACAGTGACTCAGCTGGGCAAGGACAAGCACAACTTCACCTTGACTCCAGTAGGCTCATGGCTTCCAGACAAACCGCATCTTGCCACACACTGGTGAATGCAGGCCTCTCATGTTTCTGAAGACAGTTCTGTTTCTCCCCCACCCCAGGCAGTACTGTCCCAGCTCCACGTGTTCTTGCTGTCTTTCACCCGGTATTTTATCAGCTACTGTTTATGTTTAAATGAACAGCAGTGCCCATCCTGCCCTGTAGCAGGTTCTGGCTGGAAGAAGCTGGGAGCAAAGAGGGCAATGCATCCCTCTGAGTAAGTTCTAAGCTGTTTGTTAGAAACATTTGGATCTGGGCTTGTGATCCAAATGATCCTGCCCACTCCTAAAAATCCTCTGGGGTGGACTGCTGTAAATGATTATCAGCACTTAGGACTGCTACCCAGCAAGTGAGAGTGAAGGACAAGGAAACTACTGGGACAGACAGAGGTGCTAATGGATTCCAGGAATTTGGCCAGGAGAGCAAGCAGACGCCCCCTGGGTTGTTGAACTGTGCTTGCTGAACAAAATGGTCAAGACCCTGAGGTTATCTCCTGAAATACCTCCTGTGTACAACACTGGATTCAGATGAAAAGGGTTTCCTAGGCTCTCTGACTTCCCCACTTCTGTGTGGCCCAAGCCTAGTCCTCCTTTGCTGGAGGGATCCCAGATCCATCTGTGCTGGTGACAGGCTCCAGTGTGGAAGATGTGTAAGCTGGGCAAGAGGCACCCACACGCCTGCTTCCTGCACAGAGATCTCTGCCCCTACAAACCTTACCATCCACTTCAGCATGATGGTGGTCTCATTGATGGCATCTGTGAAGGTGATGTATGGCCCGGCCACAGGGCGCTCGTAGACCCGGTTGCTGTACCCAGACACCACATATGGCCGAGATGCTGCACTGGGCTCGCTCTCTCCCAGGATGTTCAGTGCCCGGACACGGAATTTATAGGATGTGCCTGGGGAAAAATGGGAAATAAAAGAGTTGCAGAGATTGCAGTCTTCCAAGACTTCTACTGTTAGCACAGGCCTGACTGTGGAGAGGGGCTACACCTTCTCCAGAAGGCAGAGAGCCTACAGAGAGGTTCTGATTGAAGTACAACCACTGAATGGCCAGATTTCAGCCGTGTGCTACATGGAGCCTGCTTTTATTTGCCTTCCCCAATTCCTGTGATGGTTGAGAGGTCAGGTAGCAGTTCTGGAAGGTGTGCGGGTGGATTCAGAGATGCCTGAAAGGATGTCCTGACCGGAAAGCAAGTATGGGAAGGCGTCCTTCCTCTACTACATGGAAATTAAGTACATAAACATCAGTTAAAAGCTCAAAGCCTAAATAATTTTTACCCAAACATGGTTTTACTGGTCTTAAGTTGGGGTAGATACATTGTCCTTTTAAGCTGTCTAGCTCTAGCTCAGTGATGCTATCTTTTCTCATGTGAAGTGCAATGGGAATTGTGTGCCCATCTGTCTTGCCTGTGGCTAAGGAAAGTTCTGTCCTGTCTAGTAAATGGCAAAACCAAATGCCTTTAGTAACTATATCCTGTAATACAAAAAGCATGCACAAGCCTCCCTGAGGGAGGTCAAATTTATGCTGGGCTTTGCAGCTGGAGAAATTGGAGAAGCATCTGCAGCTTTTCCCCATGCATCTAAGGATGGAGCAGGGGAGGCTTTGTTTTGCTCACACATGCCGGGGCTAAGCATGATGTGACAGATGGCCAATCATCCTACAGGGACTGCACAGCTTTCCTACAGACCTCCAGGAAGCAGGGAGGAGAACACCTGCCTACCTTTCTCCAGGCCTGGGATTTCCACAGAGAGGCGAGAAGGAGGAATGTCACGGGTGGCCAGGACCCAGTCTCCCAACTTCTTCAGTTTCTTATACTCCACACGGAAAGACTGGATGGGGAACCCGCCATTCCCACGGGGGATCCAGGTCACATACACTGATGTCTCTGATGCCATGGAGATGGTTGGACGGTCTGGTGCCTCTGGAGCTGCAAGGGGCACAGAAGGACATCAGGACATGAAACACGTTCCTCTCGCCCTGTCTGGAGGATCCTGTAGCTCAGAGGTACATGGGTGAAGGACTACCTGCATTGCACCCACCCACATGCTCTTTAAGTCATGAATGCTCTCTTCTTTCTGCCTCTTCATTAGAGCTGGCATCCCCAAATCCTCACTCCTTTCAGTTTGTGCCCTGCAAACATCTTTTAATCCTGCTTGCATCTTGCTCCTTTTCCACTCCCAGCTCAAGTAGGATGAGACAAGGTTTGAGGTGTGTACGCCCATCATGGGAGGGAGAGCAGTGAGAGGTGTGGCTGCAGGGCCGGAGGTAGAGCAAAAGGCCTGGCTGATGTGGAAGCAGTGAGCAGGGGGAGGCTGACAAGTGTAGGGGACGAAAACAGGAGAGACTGAGAAGAACCAGCTGAGGAGGAAATAGGGAAAAGTTCTGAACTGTAGAAATGTAATTTGATAGGAAAACAAAAGGTGGGCGGGAAAGAGATGAATGGAGCTGTGGAGATAAAAGAAAAGGCAACACATGAATGAGTGGGGGGGGACTGAAGGAGGGGACTTCACAGAAAGGATAAGGACCGAAGGAGAGAATTTCACAGAAAGGATAATGGCACTGGTGAATAATAGTAATGGCAGACACAAGGTGGGAAACAATGAATTGGGTTAACCAGTAAGGAACTGATGTTTCTCCAGCGCAGGAAAATACCCAAATGGCGCACCCTCCATGCCTAGAATGGGCACTAACTGCCCCTTGTCAGGGCTTGGCTGAGAGAAGATGGTGCCAGGACCTGCAGGGACCGGGTTCCCCTTTCTCCCTCGCATTCCCCCAGCACCCGCTGGTGCACTGCAGCTTATTGGTCCCATGTACTGAACATTTACAGACCTCACAGCAGGGCTTTCTGAACCCACCCAGCTTTGCACAGTCTTGCTTTACCCAGCGGAGACTTCAACCCCAGCATGGCCTGGCCACTGTCACCAACAGGAGATCCAGCACCCCTTGCCCACCCTCCTTGCCCAGTTCGGGGAGGGCCTTACGGGACAGACGGCTGTTGTCGGACTGGTTACTGCTCTGAGTGCTCGTGCCTGGGTCGTCCCTCTGGATTTGCTGCTCTTTGCTGGCAACAATCTCTGGTTTTGGGCGCCGGCCTGCGCAGAAGGGAGAGGTGGCATCAGTGACAGGGAGACACGGCTCAGAGTTAATTTTTGCTGTGATGAGCAAAGAAAAAATTCCCAGCCACAATGCTGAGGTAAGTACTCTCTGGACTCAAACGGCCCTAGGGGTTCAAAACACTCAACCTGCAGGCAGGAACTAAAGCTAAAGGGGCAGGTTTGTTAAACTGTTAATAGGTGCCCCTCATATTTAATTTTCTAAAACTTTTAATTAGTTTTCTTGAAACGTTGCTGGATTTCTGCCTGAGAATGTAGTAATTAGCACAAGATGGGGGCCTGAGGGGACATGTGAGCAAGCCCACCACCATGCGGAAGGTTGCTACAAAGGGAATGCCATTCCCCACACCTGCTGGAGACATGGAAAGCAGCCAGGGGCCAGGGGGACTTAGTGTAGACATTTGGAACATCCTTTTAATGGCAAAGAGAGCTCAGCACCAAGCAGACTGCATGGGAAGGCTTGGAGTTTCCTTTAGTACCGGACAAGCTTTTAAGGACAGATTAGACAAACGCCTGTCGGGAACAACTCTCACAGGCTGATCCTGTCTCCAGGCAGAGGATGGATTAAATGACCTCTTGACATCCCCGCCAGACCTGTTTTCTACGTTTCTGCAGGTGACCAACTGAGACACTGAGGGAGGAAGGGACTTACTCCAACCCAGGCAGAGGGGAAGACCTGATTTTCCCCATCCCACTTCAATCCCACCCTCCCCTTTCCCTTCTGACAGAGCCACTCTAAGCTGAGGGCAGATGGGTTTCCAGAGCAGAAACAGCCCCTTTGCCCTAACACTGGTGCCTGTGGCTCAGGGCTGGGGCAGGACATCTCAGAGGGGCCCTCCCCTGACTCAGAGCAAAACGCCCAGGGAAAGGTTTGACCTTTACCAGTCCGGAAGGTCACCATGGCCGTCTGTCCCTCGCCGGCGCAGTTGTGAGCGGCCATCTCCACCTCGTAGAGGCTCCCAGGGTCCAGCCTGGTGAGGGTCAGGCGGTGCTGCGAGGCTGGGACGTCCCTCACTGCCCAGCTGTCCGAGGCGTTGGTGACCTGCTGAGAGACCAAGGCAGGCGTTGCAAAGCTGGGGGCAGGCTGGGCTTCTTGCCTGCACTGAGCTCAGAGACCTTCAGGACAGGCCGTGTATCAGCCAGGGCTGTCTTCCCTGCCCGGAGGCCAGTTTCCTGCCTGCAAAGGAGGGAGATGTTTCCAGCCTGATTTTGCTAAGCTGAAGGATTCAGGTATAAGCAGGACAAGCCACCAAGCACCAGGGTGTTTTCTTGACCCCAGGTTCAGTCAGCCCCGTTCTGTCCGCTGGTCCCCTCTGATACCACTGCCCCTCAACGCGTGAAAAGCTCTGGAGCAGGCGTGCCCACAAAAGGCAGCATTAGCCAGAGGCTCAAGCTGCTTTAGGGGCCAAACCTCTCCTGCAGCCCAGCTGCTGAGCTGCTCATTTAAACGCTGGCCATTTCCATGGGAGGAGGTACCCAGACACCACTTCGGTCACCTGGACCTAAGTCATTTGACTTTTTATCCAGTTTTATCCAGCCCCACCGCTGGCACTTTCTGGCTGAAATGAGGAACTGTAACGTTTGAGCACAGGTTTCTGCAGGGAAAAGACCGTGTATGGCCGTGGCCCCCCGAAAGGCCTGGAAACACAGTTCGTTTTTTGGTGATGCCCCGATGCCCCATGCGGAGGGGGAGGGAAGGTGCGACCTTCCTTCTCCCCAGCTGCAAGGATAATATTTTTGCAGGCAAATAGGCAGGACACTGAAGTGACCCGCTGCCGAAAGGAGCATTAGCAATGCAGGCAACGCAACAAAACGGAAATGCCAAGACTCTGCCGTATCATTCATCTTCTCTAAGCATTTGACACTGACTGATTAATGCCTGCCTCGTTTTATTTTTATTCCCAAGCCTGTGGAGTTGTGAGGCCAGGGAGGGGAGCCCTAAAGACTGCTCATATCCAGGAAAAGAAAAGAGAAATTCTTAAGAAACAAAGATAATGGCTGCGTGGCATCTTGCAGGCTGCTGAGATTTTAGGGGCAGTGTAAGAGCAGGGAAAAAGAGACATCTGCAGATATTTTCCAGAGGAGGAGCAGACCCTTGCCCAGTACAAATGTAAGCCTCCTGTCAGTAGGTTTCACTTTTCTTATAGCCATCTTTCACACAAAGAGCCTTTTCTTTTGTTGCTGAATTGATTCCTTCCCTCCCTGCATACATGCTTTTCCAGTCAGAGATGTCGAAACCAGATCATTATATAACTTGATCCTAAGGATCGCTGATAGAAAGAGACTCTTTCTAAACAAGTTTAAGGGTTCTTGGGACTAATTCCTTTCCACACAATCCTTAACCATCCCAAGAAAGAGTCTCCAGCTGAGAATTTGGACTACACTGAAAACATATTACTGCAAACTGCAGTGACCCATGGTGACCTCCACTGCCCTACAGCCCCTTCCAGGTGAAGCGCTGAAAAACAAATAAAATATGGACAAACTCCAGCCTGCAAGTTAAGATCGCAATGCAGACTTGGTAGTTACATGATACACCATTGGGGGATAAACCTCTTCTTGGCAGACCACCAGAGCTAATAGTCTGGTGAGGCTTTTGGCATCTTTTCATTTTTATTTAAGGCTGCCCTATTGTGTTCTTGTGTTGGCATCTTCTGCCTTTGTTTTAAAGGGCTCTTTTGGTTAGCTGAAACCCTCAGCTTAAGTTTTGTTTAGAGAGAAATCAAGGATGTGTAGGGATTATAACAGCCTCCTATTATACCATATTTTCACAAAATCAAACAATTCCAGGAAAACAGATACACATATTAACATAGAATAGAAAATGGTGCCTTGCAGTGGCTGGGAATCCAAAACATGCCAGATCTGGAATGTACTCAAACCCCAAAGCAAAACCTGCCCCTCTACTGCAACTCCCTGCCTACCCAAAGGAAATACAAGCAGCAAACAGATAAATTTAATCCTTTTTTTGCCCCACTTATCCCCAGCAAAATGGGAAGAGATGCTCTACACCTCAAAAACAGAATTTTTACCTCAACAACACTTTGCTTTTTAGAGAAACCGCTGGGCTACAGCTCTGCCTGCACTCTGCCCATGGTGCCGAGAAGCACCGCAGAGGGCAGGAGCCCTTGGGCTCAAGCAGGGCTCAGCAGTGCACCGTGTGCTCACACTGTGCCATGAGCCATGCTCAACAGTGTAATTCCTTTCAGCTTCCAGAATAAAAACAGTGGTTGAGGACCTTCCCGGAGGATTTAGCATCTCAGAGCTCCCTGATGGCTCCTCACAGTCACTGAGCGTGGGTGCTCCAGTGCTGCTGAGCAGGGCAGGTACGTGCAGCAGAGAGAGGCTGCTGCTCTGTGTCCTGTAGCCCAAACCTTTCAAGGCAGCGGTGTCCCCATGGTTTGTGCCAAGACAAAAGCATTAGAGCAAGTCACTGCGCAGTCTGCCCTCAGGACTTCCTACTGGTGTAAGCACACAACTAGGAAGTGGAAGCTCTTCAGACTGGAAATACACGTGTGTGCATGCACCTTCTACGTACTTAGGTAGACGTGCACCACTATGGGCTCTTCTTGGACAGCTCAGCAAACCTCCTCTTGCAGCCTGTACTCATCCCACCTCAACAGCCTGAGGCTGCACCTGAGGAGGTCCCACCAACCAGAGCCACCAGTGAGCGATGGGTGCCCCGGCCCCAACGCACCTGCTCACGAGGTGTGAAAACGTGAAGTGAGGCCACCAGCCCGCCTGTGGAACGGCGCAGAGGAAAGATGGGAGCAGGGCGAAACAGCGATACCTTGCGATGCTTCACCACATAATAGAGGATGGGGGCTCTGCTGTCAGGCCGGGGTCTCCACACCAGATCGTAGCTGTCTGTCTTGGACGTCCGGGGAGAACTGAGGATGATGGGGGCCTCAGCTGGAGACACCAGCTCCCTGTTGGCTGCACACTGTGGAGATGCTGCCAGCGGGGTCGTCCCAGGCTTTGGCAGTCCAGCCTTATCCAGGGGCAGCTTCAAGGCACTGTCCCTGGCAGGTGGTGTTGAAGGTTGAGCCGAGCCCAGGTGGGCATCTCGCCCAGGGTTGAGTGTAGCTCCTGAAAGACACGATGTCAAGGCAGGGTAAATGCCCGTTCCCAGTCTCCGGTGAAGGCAAAGCTACGAGACTCTTGAACCTCTCAGAAGACCGGCACTATACACCCATTGCAGCACAGGTACCTTGGATTCCTAGTTTTCACTTTCATTAAAAAATAATCCAGCCACCAAGCCAGGAAACATGAAATTATTACTCGACCCTTAATTGGTTTAGTGGTAGACTTGGTAGTGCTAGGTTAATAGTGGGACTGGATGATCTTAAAGGTCTTTTCCAACCTAAACAATTCTATGATTGTATGAGGTATCAGGTCCCAGGCGGTGCTGCTTGCTGTGCCACTCAAAAAGGCAACAATCTCTCCTTCTCCCGCTGTCAACCTAATGCACCTCACTGGGGCCCCTCTGAGAACAGGCCTGGCCACATGGGGCTTCCTCCCTTTCTGAAGCCCCTCTTACCCTGGGTAAGTTCATCAGGGTCCAAGGAATCAGGAGGTACCTCTCTCACCGCAGGTGAATCCACCCACACCAGTGTTTATGCTCTTGCTCAGTGCAAGCTCAGAGGCAGACCTGAGCAAGCCATGGGGTAGGGCACTACACCCAGATGTCCTATGCCTCTCATGCAGAGACAGCTCAAGTATGCGCACATGGCACTGCACTTAGAAGCAAAACCGCTACCACGTGCTCTACAGGCAGATACGGAGATCCCAGTCAAAAAAAGCACTCGAAACATAGGGTAAAAGGGAGGGAAGAGCAAGGCAGCTGAAACACAAGTGGGAGGGTTACACACCAACTTTCTTCTGCTGCTCACCCTGCTCCTTCCCTGTGTGTTAGGCTCTGGGATTGAATGGTCACAAGCTTGGAGAGAGGGACTTACCTGGCCGAGCTGTCCTCAGTTGCACCATGGCTTGCGCGCTGCCGACCTCGTTCTCCGCCATGCACTGGTATATGCCGTCATCCTCGGGCCCCACGCTGACCAGCCGCAGCGCCCTGCGGGAGAGCCGGAGCCGGTGGCTGGCAGAGAGGGGGACAGCATTGCGCAGCCACATGACGGAGGGCTGGGGGTTCCCTCGCACTTCGCAGGTGAACTTGGCGCTCTGGCCCCAGGGAATGATCTGCTGGGACAGCTCCATGGTGACCTCCGGGGGCTCTGTGCAGGGAAAAAACACGGCTGCTGAGTGCCACTTGGATGGGAGCATGGCACGGTCATGGCTTTGCACCTTCCCCTCTAGCAGGGACGAGGACAGAGTGATGTATCCTTACCCCAGCCCACCCTCAAGTCCTACTCCCTCTGTGGGGGCCCGCAAGGGTCTGCTTCATTGCGCCTCCCCTTCAGCATCCACATGAACCACAAGGAGAGGTGGCCCAAGGCCATCTGCCCCTCTCAGATGACAGCAGCCACCTACAAGTTCCATTTTTCTGAGCTGAAACACTACTCTGCAAAGATTGTGCTTGTGCCAAAACAACAATGGCACCTGGATGAAATGCAATCCAATAAAATGTAGGTTTAGCCTCCCTAATGCTTATGAGAAGCAGAAGGATGCATGGTAAAAATATCTAAGGTGTAGCATCCCTTACATTTCCCACCCCATAGAGAGCTTCCCTACAGAACAGAGCAAAAAGCAAGTCACTCTGATGTCTTTCCTACGCCAATATCAAATATGTCTAAGCAGCAGCCAGTCCTCCACTGCAGAGGGGAGTTAGAGCAAACCCAGTGCCACAAATGACAAGAGAAGAGCTTCCGCAGGGGAAGGGAGGATCCATCATCTCCAGCTCATGGTGGGAGCCAGGAAGGAGGAACTATCACCCTCAAGGAAGAATTCATCCCATCTCCTAGAAACTGGAACCACAAGCAGGGGTTTGCCTTACGTTGCAGTTTGTCCAGGGAGAGGAAGAGTACAGCAGCACTAGTATTTTCCCCTGAAAGGAGTGGAGAAAGTCTTCCTGAAACAAGGGCTACAGCAGCACTCACCAAACACCTGCACATTGTAGAAGATGAACGCGGCTCCGGCCTCCCCAACCCCATTGTCAGCCGTGCAGCTGTAGGTCCCTGAGTCCTCCTCGCTCGTGGGGTCAATCAGGAGGTTGCTGAGCAGGAAGCGTGTCTTGTTGTACGCAGACACGCTGGAGCCGTCTTTGGCCCAGGTGACCCGCGGCGGGGGGATCCCGCTGGCCACGCACTCCAGGATGAGGCTTTGGCCCTTGGTGACAATGATGGTCTGAGCTTCAGGAGGGTAGATTATCCGGGCTGCCTCCGCTGTGGAACCTGGTGAGAAGAGGAGGAGGAAGGATGTGGGTGGGAAGGAAGGTGGCTGGTGGGAAAGTGCCCTGTGCAGAGTGCAGGTAGGGGTCATGGTAGGGCTAGCGCTGCTCCCCTGCGCTGCGATAGATAAACAGCAAGGCAGGCCAAGAGCAACATTCCTCAAGGGATGCGTGCACGCAGCAAACAGGCTTGCCAAAGGGCTAAGGGCCTTTGCTCGCCCATCACTGAGAACCAATCCTGAAGAGGTACAGCAATCCCAGGGCTGCACACACATACCCTAGGAGCAGACCTTGGGGCCTTCTGCTGCTGGAAAGGAGGTTTCCCAGCAACTGATAATGTCAGTTCACATGGAAAAACAGCTGCAATAGCACTAGTACATGTTTCCAGGGCTGAAAGTGCTACGGAGAAGACGTGCAGTGAAGGGAGAGCAGCTTACGTCTCACGCGGAGCCTCTCGCTGGAGACCGAGGTTTTCACCTCCTGCGTCACAGGGTTGTAGGCAGCACATTTATAAGTCCCCTCATCCTCTTGGCTGGCATTGACGATCTGAAGGTTCCCAGATGGCATGATAAGGTAATTGTCTGTAGGGAGAGGAGGTGGCACGTGGTTATAAGACATGTCCCCCCTCTGGAGGAGTGGAGAAGAGGTGGACAAGTAGGAAGGGAAAAAACACAATACTGACAGCACTGAAATGACCCCTTTTGTTCAAATATCAACGATGCAGTGGTGGGAGGAACAGAGCCTTAGGTGAAGCTAGCTTGTCACAGGTACAGGCAGCAGATGGAGTGAAGCTGCAAAATTCAGATCCAAATTTTAAAAATTTCCCCAAATTCAAAAGTTGCCTTTATCCAGGCTTGGTTAAAGGAGCACTTCACAGACATAGGGAGATGCCCGATGAAGAGCAATGAGGTGCATCACCTAGTTCTACTTTCTTTCCTCTTCCACAGCTGGTGTTACGCATGGCTCCCTAATGCCAGGCAGCGGAGACATTGGGGAGCCTTGGCAGAGACCCTAAACTAACCTGAGCTCAAACCGGTGGCGAAGGGACAACAAGGAGGCAGCAGCAGGCAGAGAAAGCTACTGCTGGTAAGGAAGCGTAAAACAAGGTCATGGGAGGGGACGCAGCGGGACAGACCTCTGTGGCACTCACCTCGGGAGGCCTCTAGCCACTCCTGCTTCACGCTGTAGCGGACCTGAGCCTTGGGGTGACTTTCAGGCAGGTCGCAGGCGATCACGGCTGTGTTCCCTTCATCCACCTCGATCACATGCTGGCCATCGAACTTGAAATCTTTGAGATCTGCAGAGAGAGCGAACAACAGGGCATCTCAGTGGCTGCTGTTTCAGCAGCCTGGTGTCAGCTCATCCTCTCCCTGTAGACCTGGGGCTGCTTCATTGCGGTGCCAGCAGAGGACCGCTCCATCCCCAGCAGCTAGGGAAACTGGCCTGGTTTCAGAGCTTTATTTTTGCTTCTCCTCCTCCCTTCTACAAAATGGGTAACTTAAATCACAGCTTCTGGAGAAACCGCCTGTTCCACGACTGAGAAACTGGGTGTGAAAAATCCTGGCCTGAGAGTAAAAAATGAGCCAGCTTACTGCAGCACTGAAGGGCAGCCAAAAATGGTCCTTCTGCTGCCTGCTATTTCAAACACGGCTGCCGTCCTGCTACCGAGAAGCTAACGTTGTAGCCGTAACTCAGGGAGCCCAGCCTGCTTCAAGGGTGCACAGATGCCAGGTGACGGAGTGGGAGAAGGCGTGCGAGCACTGGACGCTCCCAGAGCTGCTCTGAGCTCCTCTGGTGCCTGAGCAATCAGTGCCTCCGCTCCGGGCACTCTTGCTCCCATCAAATATCTTGCAACCGAAGGCTGGTTAACGAGGCCTTGCATGTGCCCAAGCAGCGCCCACACCCCAGTTCAAAAAACCAGGACTTGCAAGGAAAAGGAGCTCCTCCTTTACACAGCACAGCTGCCCCCTCCCTAAAGCAGCCGTGAAAACACCCTGTCCCAGCACGTGTTCCCCTACGAGACTGTGGCACGGGTCGCTCCCCCAGCATGGCTGATGTGGGCAGCAGGAGCGGAAGCACAGGGGCGGGGGGGAAGGGGTGCTTGACTTTTTGTTTTCTTTACACTGTTTTTCAAAGCAGGAGCAGAGGACTGTGGTGAAACCCTGCGGATCTGGCAGGGCAGGGAGCATGCCTGCATGGCCCCACCAAGCTTCCTGGAGATGAAACTGGTCCCCTCTCTCCCTGGGTACGATGGCAAATCTTTCCAGGGCACTGCAAAGCCCAAAGTTTGTCTTGGTCAGCCTGTGCCGCGAGGGAGAGGGTTTTGTGCCAGGAAAAAAGTCCTGTGTATGCATTTTTATGGTGCTGTGCACCAGCCCAGGCAACAACTAGTGACAACTGCACATCCTGCAGCTGGTCACAAGTCACATCGTCACATCAAGGCTCAAGCCAGCCCATCTTCCCCGGGACCCAGCACCAGCACATGTCTCCCAAGCGGCACGCCGCTAAATCCGGATGAGACCGCACTCCCTTTTCAAAACTCCACGCTAAGGCAGTGCATCGCATCCCTCGCTGCAGCACGGCGCGGCCACGCGCTGTCAGCAGCTCCCTCACCCCTCAAAATCCATTCCAGGACGTGGTGCCCCACGACCTTGGGCAGTTTGGAGAGCCGGGGGAAAGCAGGAGGGCTGGCGGCGGGCGGACGGCAGGCAGCCTCCCTTGGCAGCCCTGGCCGGCAGAAAAATGTGTTTTTGTTCTCTGGGAAATGCAGCAGCTCTCCAAGAGCAAAAGACAACTCTGGCTCCAAGCTTCTCCCACCCACAGTCATGGAAAAGTGACATGAAATTTCTCAAGCAGACTTTCTGATTAAAGCAAGATCCTTTATGGAGTTTAAATAAAAACCAGCTCTCTTGGCAAGGCGGCGAGAAAGCCTCCCCGAGCGCGGTGCGGAGGGGCTGCCGGGCGGCTGCCGGGAGAGCCAGCGTTCCTGGGCCCAGATCTGAGGGAAGGGGAGGAGGTTGAAAAGAAAAGGGGAGGTTTTGCAATGTCATAAAAATGATTTGCAGCGAACATGCTTAATACTTCTGGAATTTCTTGGCAACGTTCAATTAAAAAAAATAATAATAAAAAGAAGGAATACGGGTGAACTTCAGAAATGTGATTAATCCTTTAAGACAAGCTGAGGAGGGGAGCCATGTTTCCACTGGGTATTAAAGCCAGATGAAGGTTAACTCTTAACTTGTGAAAAGCTGGCAGTGCCTCGCGCTCCTCCAACAACGAAAGTTACTGCTGGGGTGGGGAAGGGTGCTGGTTATTTTCTCCTCTTTGCTTTTTATATTTGATCAAGGAATAAAATAGTAAGAGCCACAGAAATGGAAAGAGGTGGAGAAGAGGCAAGAGCCCAGTGTCTGCCTGCCCACATCATGCATGTTTCTCCGATCAACAAAATATAAACGAGCATTGGGAAAATTAATGTGCGCCTTGGTGGTCTGGATTCATCACAGCCAAATTAAGATTTCGGAGCCAAGGCATAGGCTCCAGCAATGCTGGCAGGGATCTGCATGCGCACACACACACACACACACACACACGTGCATGCACGCACAGACCCCAAAGAGGAGGAGAAGGGGCCCAGGTTCCCAGAGGAAGAGCAGACCCACAGCCCTGGCACAGTGGAGCACCACGCGCTCAGAAATGGAAAATGATGTCCCTGTGCCAGGGGACCCCGGGATGACCTTGGGCTGGGCGGATGTAGGGGTCCCTCATGTGCAGCCCCCCAGACGGCAGCTCAGCCCACAGCTCTCAGCTGTGAGTGCTGCAGCCCCACGGGGGTGGGAGCGGGACCCCCGGCTCTTCCTGCCTTCCCCTCCCAGCCCAGCCACCGGAGATGAAGGGCAAAGCTGTGGACAGAGGGAAAAAGGATGGAGGAAAGGGATCCTGGGGTGGCTGGGGGAGCAAGAACTGGGCGCCACCAGAGAAGTGCAGCAAAACCAGCAGCGGAAAGGGGAAAAACATCAGGTGGGCACCGGGACAAGCTATTTTCCAATACGCAAGCGTACAAGCTTCCTGCCAAACTACTCCCCTAGATTCCTGCTCCCCCACAGCGAACAAGACTGTTTTATTTGCCAGTGGGTTTTGGCCACAGGCGGTCTCAACCGCTCTGCTCCCCGCTGCTACGGGTGCATACAGCTGTCCATTAACGCCAACGGGTTGGCTGGAGCTGGCAAGGGGTGGCTGGGGGCTCTGCCGGCCCCGTGGGGGGGACACCCACTGTGCGTGGGACAAGCCTCGCCTTCACACACCCCTTTGCACTTGGCCCCCAGCGCAGCAAAACAGAGGCTTCTGTGCTAGACTAGGACACACGGTTTTGCCCTGGGGGCTTCAAATGAGCCCCCCTTGAAATGTGGGGAGCCATGCATACCTCCTCCCACCAGGCAGTGCAGGGAGGGGTGGAGGAGAGGGTCAGCGCCAGGGGGGATGCAGCTGTCACCCCTTTGGCTGCCCGGCCAGCAGCAGCCGTGCCCCATGTCTAACATGCAATTTGCACCCTGGGTCTAACTCCCACCGCAGCTGGGAGAAACCACATCCCCTCTCCCCTGGCTGGGTTTTCCTTTTCATATGGCAGCGCCTGACATGCCAGCCCATGTCCTTGTCCTTAA